GGCCAGGTGAGGGCTGAGAGCAGAAGTGGAAACAGATATTTGCATTTTAGAATCAAATATTTCTCACCACTTTGAGGATGGCTGCAGGCTGTGTAAGTAGCAGTTTAACTCAGCATGCACCAGAAGGCAAACAGAAAAGCTGGTGAAATTCCTGCCTTGAAGAGCATAGCCAAGCAAGGGAGAGAAAATATGCAGACACTTAAGAGGACGTGTTAAAGGAAAAGAGGGCTTGTTACCATAACTAGAGAGTGCTTTCAGGGATTAGCAGATGGAAAAGTATGGCAGCCTCAAGTAGAAAGGTACAGTGAAACCTCTCTTTTTGCCTCCTCAGTTGCAATTTCTAATTTTTAATCTGGTTAAATCAGACTGGTTAATTCAGTTTTTGAAATTTCTCCAAAAAAGTGATTTGGCTTTTTAAGTAATTTATGATCAGATGGCAGTAGATATTTTCAAAAGGTATTGTCTGAGATGTATTTTATGTGCATGTTTTTGATGTTTCACATTCTTGTAGTTGACCATTTCTGAGTGTTATGTAGCTAACAGTGCATGTTCATTTTTCTATTTATTAAATCAATGCCTACAAATCCAGATTGACATGGTAGTAAGGTAGATGTAAGACATTTAGTTAAAATTATTGTAAAGATAAATAATTCTGTACTTTTCATGAACAAAATTATTGGTTCATCTAACTTCAGAATTTGTTTTGAAGTCTCAGTAATATTTTAAAGGAATGTAGGAGAATGGTGTAAATACATAGTATAGTCTCATGTTTTAGAGGTAACAATTATTTAAAAGTTAAAAATCTTTCTATAGGACACTATCCACATTCTTTCAAATTACTGGAAAGATTTCTGTCCTCTTCAGTGGTAAGTGGAGCCTGTCATTGAATTTGGACCTGTATACTCTCAGATATAGACACACTAAAACACCTAGCAGTTACAACACTTAAGTTACTTCAATTCACAATTGTCCTAGTTGAAGTCAATAGGAATTAAGAATTTGAAGCATCAGAACTGATGGTTCTGGCTCTCTTTGGGTCCAGCTATAAGTAATTGCTAAGTAATTACTAAGTAATTGTTGTGCTTGCCACAAAATTATTTCAGGATTGTGAATGAGTGTGGAGTTGATGCATAATATGGACTCCTATAAGAGAGAGAATCCTGATTTTTATTTTGCTTCTGTTTAATTATGCACTCTGTGGGTAAGCCAGAAATTTAGCAAAAATCTCAGTCAGTGATTGCTGCCGGGTTGTTCCTTCATCATTTGCAGTTTCACATCAGTGTAAAATGCTGGTACATGAGCAGAGGGCCTGGTACACAATGAAATACACTATAATAACTTTATGAATGATGTAATAAATTAGGAAAGCTTGCTACTAACTGAATAAATGTAAATGCACCAAAACATGTTGTGGTAACATTTTACGTTCTTAAAATTATATGTCAATTAAATTAGAAATATTGTGCCTTTGTTTCAACATACCTATTATTTCAAAGTTATATAGGCCTGTCTTTACTGAGGTAAACTGTGGAGTTGTAAATATTTTGCCTGCTTGCTTCCTCATCATTTGTGAAAATTGTAGTCTTTTTTTTAAAATGCTCATGGAAGAGTATATTTATGAATGCCCCTACCTATCTAGCAAAATAAAGTAAAATAATATAAATAGCAACTTAAATTACAATTTTTATGCTTGATTTTATGAGAAACAGTTCCCATATCTTACCAAAAATATGTAGTTTGAAATTTGGTGATGAATGCATCCTGCGCAAAATGGGCTGGAGCATTTTAAAGTGTATTTTCTGTTATTCTAGAAAATGACTATGTGCAATATGTAAAGAAATCTAATATGTAAAGATTTCTTTTCCCTGTTTTTGTTTGATATTAAGTGAAATTATATGTGACTTTTTCAAAGGAACATTTTAAAAGTAAAATCAGTTTCTTGTAGGATACTATCTGCTAGAATTTGATATAATCTGGAGTTTTATGTTACTAGTTCATCACGGAAAAAAATGAAACAAGGCTTCATATTTTTCATCAAGCTATTTGAATACCACAAAGAGTTCAAGGGCTTCCAACGACAAGGAGAGAAATAACAAGAAGTGATTTAAATATGTTAAAGGCACGAAGCCCATGAGAATTGCTAGATCCATTGGACCATCAAAGAGCAGAGAGAAAAGTAGAAAAGGATAATGATTTCAGGAAAGGTTAATGATTTCTTTGTTATTTTTGGGACTAAAACTTTTCATAGGGGCTGACCAAATGAGGAAAAGGGTGACCCTGCTGTCTATGGGCTGCTCCACTGGCTCTTTCCGTTCCTCTAGTAAATACTGCAGTGAAGATCTGTTAGAAGATACGTATCAAGTACACATCTGATTTTGGAGGGACCTGGAGAAATACCATCACCACCCACATGTATTCTTTTCAGATACTAGAGGTGAGGGTCTGTCAAAGACTGAGGTATCAAAAAAGAAGGCCCTGGAACAAACTGGTGAACTTAAGAGCCATAAATTCCCAGGGTTAAAATTCTGGGCAAAAGTCAACAGGAGTTTTGCCACTGATCTGAACTCAGTCTGGATTTCAACCCAGACCAGAGAGTGTGTAGCCATGATGCCCAAGGAACTTAAGAATGAATTGCTAAGAAAAATATGCAGTATTTTTACCAGATAGCAGGCATTGCCATTCCCTTACCAACCTAACTGCTTGAAACAATAACTAACATTAGCTTTATGTAACTCCTAGCAGAAGATGATGTCTTGCTTCCCAGGCTGCTAGCATTCTTTGATCATCCCAGCAATGTGATGGATAATATTAAGACTGTAGTCACTTTAAGGTGGAGATGTCTGTACAATGTCTGATAGAAAGCATGGTAGATTTGCACCTTTATCAACTAACTAAATGAGAAATGTATAGAATAAGATTTTGCAAGCAGAGGACTTACTTCACCAGATGCTGTGAAGGGACTGCAGGAAGGTGAGCTGCTAAATATAAAGTAGGAATGCCTATAGAAAGCAGGTATGACTATCACCGTGGGACCTCAGTCTATGAGGCCAAGGCCAAACCAAGCCTATTTGGACCACCAGAGCCCACAATAGCTCACCAACCTCCTTAAGTGGCCCTCCAGCTCAAAAATATTTGCCCACCCTTCTCTTAAATGCTCTGCCTTCATGCCCCATGGTCTTTTCAGGAGGAGAATATCAAAGTCTCCAATGTGTAGACAGGGAATTGAGAAACAGTGAGATTAAAGTGAATTCAACTTCAAATCAGACAGGAAGTTTTGGACAGAGTTAGGAATTAAACCAGATCCCCAAAGCCCCAATCCAGTGCCATAACTATAAAACCACCACTCTTTCCTCATTGGAGGCTGTGAAGAAAACTAGTCACTCGTAGTTCATAACTGCCATGAATGAAAAAAATGCCAAGAGATGGAAAAGAAAGAGAAAGTCAATTTTCATGAAGGATAACTTTAGTAGAGAAGCTTTTAAAGTCCTGTGACTGTATAAGGGTTGTGGAAAAGGAAGCTAATAGGGACAAAATGTGTAGATGATGCAAAATTATTTAGATTGGGGAAGATTAGAGAAAACTGAAGAATTTCAGGCAGATGCTTTTCTAAATGTATAGAAACACACACCGGAAAAAATAACATGAACAACTCATATGGAAAGCTGTAGTAACTTGAGTCAAGTAGAAGAAAGATCTGGGTATCATTGTGGACCAGTTTTGTATTAGGTTGAAATTAAGATTTTAGACTGAAATGTATCAGTAAGAAATTTTGGGGAGGTGGGTCATTTTCACGTTATTATAAGTGCTTCATAACTAATGGTATTAAGTGGGTGCATCTATAGGTGCACTTTACTGAGGAGTAGACTAATTAGCTTTACAGTAAAGCATCACAGTCTACATGTATGCACTAAGTATTACTGGTATTAGGGTAAGTAAGTAGTGGTGGAGTAAGTAACTGAGCTGAAATGCATGCACAGATGGTGATAGGGACTCGTTGGAGCATGTGGGTGCTAAAGTGCAGGGCTGCCTGTCACTTAGCTACACAGCTCCATGCTTCCAGCACTCTTGTGCTCCAGCCAGCCCCTCCACCACTCAATGCCACCATCCAGAGCCTGGGGCTGACTCCCTGAACCTGCTGCCAGCCCAGAGCTGTTGCGCCCTGGCTCAAATTGCTGCTGTCCCAGGTGAGCGTGTAGATGCTGTGCCCATAAGCACTGTACTCTAGCTCAAACAGCTCTGGATTTTATCCCTTTGCTTTAACGGCACTTGTAGATGCACCCAGCAAGTTCTAACATTTAATACTGATTTATACAAAATTGTTAATAAGTAAATTAAGCAGCTTTTAATAAGGGTTATGTACGTGTTGTTACAGCATGCAGAAAAAGACAGCAAAATGTCTATTTCCCAGTTGTTCTGGTTACTTGTCTCAAGCTGATTGGCTAGTAGGTCTTTGTGGAAGCCATTTTCCGGTACCCATTAGACATTTTATAGCAATGTCAAATACATCAGTGACAAATACATTTTAACTTGTTGTATATAGCCATCACATTTACTTATCCTTCTGCATACATAAACATATCCATATTCAGTAAAGGCAAAAGCATGGCTGCATGCTGTCTTGCTTGCCAATTTCACAAGCTAAATTAAACAAACTGGTCCTTAAAATCTTCTCCTGTTATATAGGTTAATGTAGAAGTCATCCTGCAAACATCTTTTGCAGTCTGGAATGTCCAGCCTTGTCCACAGCTGGGCTTTTATTTATTCATATTCCTGACTAAATTCAATAATTATTAATAATTTCTGTATATGGGGACAAAAACATTGCACAGTTTTTCTTTCCAGTTACATTTCTAGTAGCATTTTCATTGCTGTCATGCTTTTTATAACTATCATGACAAATTAAATAGACAAATACCTTCATAGGGATGAAGACAGGGATGGTTTCTAGTCTTATTCATATATATTCTGGGGTTTTTTCTTACCTGTATTTTCAGATCTCATCTGTGCAAGGGAGCAAAGGTGGGACTTGCAGAGTGGCCTGTATATGTCTTATTATGTTGTTCTTTCATGTCAGTGGGCAAGAGCATTCGGGATACCAGTCAGGTACATGATGATATTCTTCTTTTTCTTATCAATCTCAATCTGTTTATTCAGATAATTTTGCTTTTCTCTAGCAAAAATGTCCACTCAACCATATGGGTGGCTTAGTCCTTCCTCTTTAATCACCATAGTTCTGAACATACCCCAAAACATTGGATTGCTAAGCAAGGAAAAGAAATAAGTGTGAAGGCGTTATTTATCTCTATAAGATTTTCATATTTTGTTTTTATTGGTATCTCATTACTGCTTTAGGTGTTGAAGGTACTGACAGGGGGACAGTGGCAGAATCATATCTGTATGTGCATGAAGCAGACAGTACACTTATCGATGGCTACGAATCAGGAGATGACATGAGGATGACCACCACAAGCTTCCCTTACATAACAGACTACCCTAGCAGCTATTACCTAGAGGAGACCACGGCTGCTTATTCTGAGTCAAGATCTTCTGGATATTATTTGAACAGAGAGGAATATACTTATCCTACTCCAACAGAGTCCTATGACAATGCGAAGGAAGTTATTACCCTAACCGCAAGGACACCATTTAGTAGAAAGAAAGATCCCTTCTCAGTTCCTAATGTCTCAGGGGAAACAGAAGGTATGTGTAATACAGTCACAAACCTCAGGGTGATGATCCCAGAGCTCCCAGCTCTCTCCCCAGCTGTCCTACTTCATGTCCATGGGGTTTTGACTAAATTTTGCTTTGAGGAAACTCTTCTTGACAAAATCCCAGTTTAACCAACACCCTAACCAGATCATACAGCCTGGTGGAGGATGGCTCTGTGGAGTCCCCCAAGGCTGGAAAAAGAATGAGGTCTGCCATTCTTGTGAGAGTCAGATGCCGTGAAATCACTCATCACAAGACAATCAGTAAGACTGTAAATAGATACCATATTTGTCCCAGGAGACAGCCTTTTGTCCTGGGGTCCTACAGACACAACAAGTCTACTTTTTCACTTCAAGTCCCTCTGAAGAATGGAGGATAAAATGTACCAACACTTTTTCCCCAGGATGTGGCTCTCTCTGTCTGTAAGATTAGTGCAGGACATCTCTGGGACAAGCTGGCTAGGCTGTGTGCTGCTGCTGGCTGCCTGTTGTTAAAGCAGCAGCAAATGGAGATTGGAAGGGTAACGTGTAAATGCCTGTGCCATGTATGCTTTGATCTGGTTTGATGAATTAGGCATGCATCAAATGAGATGTCCCTTTACAGCCCAAGATACAAAACAAAAATAGGAGTTATTACATAGGACAGAAAAAAAAACAAATAGGAAAAAGCAGCTGTCACATCTGGAGAAAGATATAAAGAAACAAAAGAAGAAATACCTCACTACTACTCTCTAAGCTGAAGCAGCTTCCTAGAGAGTTTTGTCTGTGTTTCCACAACCTAGTAATCCTGCCAGATTGTTTGCCAGCCTCCCTGGCTGGGGTTCATTCCTTCCCTTGAACCCGAGCTGTCTTGCTTGCCTTTCTCCTCAAAAAGGCTTCTGTTAAATCCCGTATTATCATGATGTGCCTATCTTTCATTCCCCATTCTATTTCTCAGAATGCATGTTTCTCTCAAGCAGATGGTTTCCTTCTCAGGTCTGAAATCTACTTATTAATTGCATTCTTCTGTGTTATACTCTAAACCACTGTTTCATATACCTTTTATTCCAGGTAAACACTCAAGAGTTTCACTTCTTCTGCATCCCATGACTTTTTCTTTCAAAATGCATATGGCCATTGTCTGGGAGGTGGCAGGGGATGGGAAGCTAACACAGAAGAGCATTTTTACACATATTGTCAAATGCAGCGCTGGATGCTTTAATTAGTGAGTTGCGGTAATTAGAAGTACCCATGCAGCATGTGTATCAGCATCCCTGCACATCCCCACACTGAAAAATTGGTGGTGGGGTGCTTTGAACTAGAGCTTATTGAACAAGTTTTATTTTGATGTGCCCCACTGCCATTTTTTTCAGCGCAGAGACTCATGGGGATGCTGATACACATGATGCAGAAGACCACCGGAGTGTGTCAATTTTGTGCTCCAGCACACTTGATTAATCGAGTCTGCTTCAAAGCTCTGGATTTCTAGAGTGTCAGAGCAAGCTCCACACACTTGTATAAGAGAAGGACTAGCCAACAGCTAATCTAACAGGTTAGACCAGAGGCGTCAAACATATGACCCACAGGCCAGATCTGTCACACCATCTCATTGTGATCAGGTCCCAGACCACTGAGGGATCAAGGTGCCAAACGGTCAGGAGTGAGCAAAATTCAGGGGCAAGCTGGGTGAAGAAGCCAGAGGTCAGTCCAAGAGTGGGGTCTAGGAACAAGCTGAGTCAGGAAGATGGGATATCGGGCAGAGAGCAGTCAGAGAGCAAGCCAGGCCAAGAAGCTACGACATCAAGTGGAAAGTGGAATTGGCGAGCAAGCTGGGTCAAAAAGGCAAGAGATTGAGTGGCAAGTAGAGAGCAGCCTGGGATCAGGTTAAACTCTGTTCCATGGATCCTTCCTGTTCCTGCTCATGAACTTGTATAGGGGAAGTGGAGGGTCAGCTGATCCAATCAGCCACTTCAGTGTCATGGAGTGGGCAGATAGTTAGGCCCTGATGGAGGCTTCAGGTCAGCCTTGCCCAGTCTGCGTGGTCAGCTGTAAGATGTCATGCCAGGATGTGTGGGTGTGCTGATCAAGCTGAGGCTCTAGGTTTTGAGGTGCCAAAGCACAGTAGACTATTTCAGTTGTGGCCAAGGTCAAAGGGCACATGTAAATAAAATGAGGGGCATGTGTGCACAACACATTAAAGCGAGTTAAATTATTTTGCGCCGTTTTAATGACGTTGGTGTTTGCATGTATCCTCGGTGTATTGCGCATTAAGTCTAGCCACTGTCGCACATTCGGCAGAGTAATGTGCCTTAAATGACTTTGGGGCGCAGCAAACTAAAACACCTCCTAGGAGTTTTAGTTTGCTGCCCCTACAGCCATGGAGTGAAGCACCAGGCTCCATGCAGCTCAGGGGCTCTGCAGGACACCTATGCAGGCACAGCCTGGCAGCAGCCAGGGAAGGCAGACTCCACTGAAGGCAGGGGGGAAAAAAAAACAGCGAGCCTGATCTTTTTTTTTTTCCCCTGGAGCCTGCATGAGCTGCACAGGGACCCAGTCCTTCCCTCCATGGAAGACAAACTGTGAGGAGGCTGATAAGGTATGCTGAAAGTCAATAGGAAAGGAGGCTGGTGGCAGGCTTGTATAGTGGGAGTGGTAAACCATGCAGTTTTCATCCAAAGCTTTTCAAGCAAATGACTTATTTTCAATTACTTTTAACACCTTTTCTCATATGTAGTCATGCTGACTGCTGTTCTGTTTTAGTCATTGATCTGTTACGAGAATTAGGAGTCCCCAGTGCTTCTGGAGTCAATACCGTTCCAGGATCACAAAGTGACCGGACAGCATATCAGCTTGGACCACATGTGCACGTTACAGGAGAAACCAGGTACATCAGATGACATCAGCAAGGTCTTTGGCCTTTGAGCTGGGATTGCACCACTCCCTTCCTCTTGTTAATATCTTTATTTAGTATCACAGTGAATTTCAACATAGCACTTGCAATGGAATTTAGAGCTGAACAACAATGCCAACATGACAAAGTTTCCTAAGCTCTTTCATACCTTTTTCTTCTAGATTACTTCTCCCACAGGGGCTCTCCCAGGAATTCTCTATAGTTTCTACCTTCAGAATGAGAGAGGATACCTCTCAGGTGGTGTGGGATCTCTGGAAAGTGAAGGACAGTACCAGAGCTGATCAGTTCAGGCTGCGTCTCTATGGAGAAAGCTCTGCAGTTGACATATACAGTACAGCAGGAGAAGCATCGGGTAGTGAGCTCACCACCTTTGAGAATGTGGAGAAGCTTTTTGATGGGACATGGCACAAGCTTGCCCTTAGTGCCAGGAGAAACCAGCTTACCTTATATATAGACTGCCAGCCAGTGGACACTGCCCCTGTCAGTCATTATGGAGCAATCAGGACAGATGGAAACATTGTCTTGGCCAAGAGAATAAAGGATGACATCACTACACTGGTAAGTACCAGACTATGCATACTATATGCATACATTCCTAATACCTCAGAGTATAGAAGTGCTTTTTCCTTATTCCATAATGAAGTTATATAGTATAGAAATGTAACTAAAAATTGCTGTATCCTGCTGATTCTCACCCAAAGAGCTCCTCTAGTACATATACACTTATTCTTAATCTTGAATGTCCAGAAACATTCCAAAAGAACTATATTCATAACTCTGAATAGGGACTTATGTTAACTTACATTAGCATGACATGGCTTTTTAATCATAGCCAACCTGTTTCCTGGTATGCCTGGCCTGTCTTGAATTCACTTAAAGCAAATTCAGCCTGAAGAACATGAGTAAAATTAGGGAATAGGGTCAGTTTCCATTGCAGAGGATCTTACCCCTAACTTGTTTAATAATGAAAACAGGCCTTCTTGTACACAGTGCTGCAGCCCTTCTTTTCTTAACAAGAGAAGCTGCAATAAATGATCTGCTGTCTGCATTGGTTCTCCACCGAAAAGAGAGAGTTCAGTTCAAAGTGTCTGCCCTGATTATCAAAGTATTTGATTTGGCACAACCGGCTTAGAGCTTGACCCTGATATCCCATAACACAAATTTACTATTGGAGAACTGAGACTTGACCCACTGGGAGAGGTCCAGGAAAGCACGAGACAGACCTTTCATAGGACCAATGCAATGGTGCTCACTGCTACAAGATATAAGAATAATTGCAGACATTGCTGCTCCCTGAACAGAATGCAAAGCTCTCTGCTTCGATCCAGTTCTTTCTCAATGCTCTCTTCACACAGAGGTGGCATGGGACCATCCTACCAATGAATACAGATACAAATAGAGAACCCATAGATTTAAGCTCTTTCTCCCAAAGCAGAGAAGAAACTGGTTCTGTTATTGGAAAGTGCTCTGGACTTCTGTACCTCCATTGGCAGGGTTGAGAGCAAGAGCAAGCTGAAAGTGGAGCCTTACTGGGATTTCTGAATTCTTTTTCCATTCGTTCACACAACAGGTGGATGTGCAGCAACTTCAGCTTTACACAGGCCACAACCGGGCAGAGGACGAAACGTGTTGTGAAGTACCTGGAGTGGTGAGCTTAGACTGCAACTAATAAGCATGCACTTTGTTTTTCTAAAATTTTAATGCAATTATTCTCCCCTCTTTTCATTGTTTTCTTCTGTTCTTTCCCTACAGGAAGATGTCCGGGTGAGTTTCCCAAAGCCCAGTGATGGAAAATTAGAAATAAGTCTGTTTTCCCCTGCTTTAAACACACAAGGAAAATATAGTTCAAAGGTGCTGAAGACCTTTCCGTTAATTTGCATTTCTTTTGAATCTGTTTCTCCCAAGTGTGGGAGTTCAGGATATGGGGAGATTCCAGAAACCTGCAGTTGCCAGCCTGGAGTGCCTGGCTATGCTGGCTTTCCTGGTACAAAGGTGAGCAGAATAAGCTATTGTAAATTACTAAAGAGTTGCTTTTAAATACAACATAAAGCACAAAGGATTCATAAAAAATGAAAATAAAAGTTTAATGTTGTTTTTCCAAAGAAAAAATAAGTTCTCTTTTGCGATAAGGGTAGAAGCCCAATGAAATTAACAGCAATCACTCATTTCACTGGAGCCAGAATTTCCTCCTACATCTTGAAGGCTGGGGACAGAAGTTGCATATAAACGGGTTTAAGTAATCAGAAACTGGTTTAAACCTGTAACAGTGCACACAAACCAGTTTCAAAATGTCCAAAACTGGTTTAAAATAAACCTGATTGAATATAGTATCAGACTTAACTGATTGAGGGCAAACTAGTTTACAGAACTTCTGTCCTAGACCCCTTCCTGGTTAAAGTTAAATCGGAGTCCCCCAGTATCCCCAGCATACTTTTCAGCCCTGGGCTGAGCTGTGCCATCTGCTGCAGAGAGCAGGGCTGGCCTTGCCCCTCTGCTGTCTAGCCAGTGCAGAGACAGGAGCAGAAGCCAGACAGCATGGCCCCCTGAGCCAAAGGGGGCAGGGAGGGAATTTATTTCCCTCTCCTTCCCCTCTCCCCTTGGGGGACCAGAGCTGGGGTCTGCCAACTCCAGCTGCCTCCTCCACTGCTTCCCTCTGGCCAAGCAGGCCCCAGCTGGGTCCCCAAATGAGGGGAGGGAGGGAGGGAGGGAGGGGGGAATAAACTCTCTCCTTGCCCCGTTTACCTTAAGGGGCCATGCCAGGCACTGTCTGACCATGCCTTCACCCCTGCCACTGGAGCAGCAAAGGGGGAGAGATCCTGACACAGTGTCCTGGGGAGCACAAGCCTCTTCGTGGTGTGGGGACTGCACTGTGGGCGGCAGCGGGATGGACAGAACTGCCGCAGTCTGTGCAGGGTAAGTGGTGGTGGCTTAGAGGGGTGGCTATGGAGACTAAACCGAATTTTTGGATAGACATAGCCCCCTAAGCCCCCTCTCCCTGAGGCTGCCACCACTCGCCCTGCGCAGGCTGCAGCAAGCTGTGGAGGTGGCAGTCAGGGCTGGCAGAACCCAGCTTGGTCCCTGGTGGGAAATAGGATGGAGGCAGACTCCAGCTGGTATCCAGGAGGAAAAAGGAGGGAGGGGGGAATAAACCCCCTCCCCCCTTCATTTTAGGGGGCCATGCTGGGCCAGCGTCTAGCTAGGGGCTGGGGGCTGGCTAGGCTCTTCCTCCCCTCCCACCAGAAGCCTGGTAAGGGCTGTTTCCCCCTACACATTCCAGGCAGACCCCAGCTGGGGTCCCTGCAGGCCAGGGTCAGGGTATAAACCCTTCCCTAGTCATACTCAGCCTGCCGGGGCCTGGCCATGTCCCCCCCCCAGCTCAGCTTCCCTCCAGCCTGGCCACTGTTGAAGGGAAGGGAGGTCTTGCTCTAGTGTTCCCTGGCTTCTGGCCTGAGGCACTGCAGGCATGTGGATGCATTTCCTGAATCAAAAGTGAATGTGTATTCACTTGCTTGCTGGTTCAATCCATGGAGGTTAGACTAACTTGCAAATATTGAATCTATTCAGTCTTGGGCTTTCTGAATCTCTGTACTTAGTCCAAGCAGCACAGCTGCCCTATTTGTGGGGGCAAATCACATCACTTACGCTCTATTATCACCTTGCTTGTGCTTGCATCAGATGACAAAGGCCCAGTTAGTTTCATCTGAGCCTATGTTTAAATTGTAGGTATGGATTTCTGCTGCTGCTCCATCATGTGTGACTTTTATGGACTTAAGCTTTTCCTGTACACATGAATAAGAGAAACTTAATAGTGAATAGGCTTTTCCTGAGCACAATATCTGAGGTACTTTTACTCTTGAGTATAATAATAAAGCAATCAGCTCCTTATTTACATTTTGGAATTGACTGATAACAGTTTGACTGGGCTCTGGAAAGTAAAATATTGTTAGCCTAGAGTCTATTCATATAGTAGGCACCAAAATCTCTGAATTTTCTTTAGGATTCTTATTTCCCTCTCCTCAGTACAAACCTCTGTGACAAATGTTGTAAAATGTTATTCTCACTGATCTATTAGAAGCATTGAAACATGAAATCCAACCCTTGTAGGACAGCCTGATTATCATTAAAGCCATGCTTTCTGCTTTTTA